CTAAAACAGATTCCTGCTGCTCATACCCTCACCATAACCCGTGCTAGAAATTATTACTACTACAACGTATTTTGTTTACAAGTACTAAATGTGAAGTTGCACACATTTTCATAGGGCATTTTTCAGACATTTTTGTGTTACTGCATCAGAAACACAACAGTAAACTATGACACGCCTTGCAGCTTACCGAAGATAAGTATTTGCTGAGAACCACTACTGACCTGTCCGTGCCCACTGGGTGTCGCTGTAGGCAGGGCCAAGATACTCGGGCGTTACAGGGAATTTGGTTATTGTGTAAGTTACTTTTTTTCTCCTAAATTTATCTCTAAGAATTCTTGTATGAAGCTACAGCTGCCCTGTGCAGAAATGCTTACTATAAAATGGAGCCAGATACTGAACTACTGCAGCCACTCCAGCAATGACAGGGTATTTTGTAACAAGTTTCCCATGGTTGATAAACAATATTTACATGAAGCAGAGGTTTTTTTCACTAACATTTTTACTGTGGCTTAAACTTCAATTACAGTAGTAACACCAACCTTTAAAATTTATAGATATTTGGATACATGCTGATTCAATGTTTTATCTAACGCTCACCTGAAACAGATCTCAACACCTGTATTACTTCAATTTGAGCAACATCCCTCCCAAACAACACTCAAATTCATTTATTTCCACCCCCAGAGTATTTCCCTTCCGGCAGAGGAAGGAATATACTGTCAGAAAGTTCTTAACATGGGAAAAAGCCCTCCAAACACCACTACTGCCCTGCCACTAACAAAACAAAAAGCTCCAAAGCAAAGCAACACACACTTTTTCCACGATCTAATTGTGAAGGAATCGGCCAAGCCAACTGATTCCACTACCAAACAGTCATACAAGCAGAGGTTCAATACAAGCTACAGAAGTATGGGAGAAGACAGATAAACACACCTGCAGTTACACTAATGAGAATTCAGTGCTGCCATGACTGAAGCCATTTCTTGGTTAACAATTCACTGTTGATTTAACAGGACTACAGCTTTGAAGGCAGCACGGACAAACCTTAAGTAAAGGTCTTGGATGTGAGAAAACAGTGAACACAGTTCATATGTGAAAGACTGCAACTGATGCCATGCTCAGTTCAATAATGTGGCAGAGAGAATTTTTTCTTGCCTCCTGGCTCTGCAAGTGATCCTTCACATTACCATCGACTGACTTCTTCCAGAATCCAAGTTAGCCCATTTAAACATACTCGGATATTCACAGTAATGTGGACAGAACCTCTTATTTTTAAATGCTAGCTCAAAGACAGAATTCAGGATACTAAAAGTCCCCAAACACATTAGTTTATTTAAGGTGATAATACAGTCAGCAGACAACACTGCAAGCATGCCAAGAAATAAATACTTTGATTCCAAAGCAAACAACTAAATTTAAAAAAAAAAAAAAAAAAAAAAAAAAAAAAAAGAAAAAAGAAAGCACCTTTTTACAGTTGGATGGCACATACCTGCTCTTGCACTTGTAATGAAGTTTTCTGTTCTGAAGGCTCTGTGCTTTCTGCCTTTGGAGGATTTGCATTTTGTTGCGTTCCAGAACTTGATATAATACTTAAATCATTATTCTGATTCTGCAGGTAAAAATAAAAAAATAAAAAAAAAGGAAAAATATTGACAGAAATAGATGACTTTAAGTACACATTTACCCACTACTTCAATCCTGTTCAGATGGCACTTGTAAATACAGAAATCAGTACTATGTACATTGTCTGTAAGACATTGTGGAATTCATGAATTTTAGGAAACAAAAAAATCATACAAAGACATCCACCATTTAGTATGTAGTCATAAAGCTTTTACTTTTTATTATAAAAGGAAAAAATTAAGAACTGGCTTCATACTTTCTTTGCCAAGAAGGAAAATGATATAAAAAAGGCAGGCTTTTCTACATCCTGTATCTGTAATAGCTGCTAATGAGGAAGTTTCCTACACTTCATTAATTTAAGAACCCCAACTAGAAACAGCTTAAAAAAAAAATCCTGTCAGAAATCATCCTGAATGGCTGGGAAAAGAGCCTGTCACCAACTTATTTCCACCAGCTGTACTTAACCACATACATGTATTTTCAGAAGGTGCTAATTTGGTTTTCTGTGAACAAGGTGAAACCAGACAAGAGCTACATTATAACAGACAGGATGTTTACAGATCGAGTTGACTTTCATCTTTAATAAATACACACATAAACAAGCGCAGAAGTTGTATTATCATTTGAATCACCAGTGAAAACACCCAAACTGTAGAACTGTCAAGCTCTCAGTAAGCAAACTAAAGCTGAACATTAGCATAAGACACCATGATTGTTCTGGTTGCTTACAGTAACAAAATATGGTTAAACATTTACCAACAAGTTAAAAACCAAACTGAGCTTTATTTTCAGTTTCTAAATGAAAGCAAATAAATTAAAAATTCAAGACTATATGTTGTGATTTAGGGACAGGGATGAGAAGCAACTTCTCCATCTTTCTGTCTTTTAGTCACTGACTTGAAGGTCAAAGCCCTTTGTGCCTGAACTGTTGGATGCCTTGTGGTTACCAGAAGAAAAAAAAAAAACACAAACCCAAAAAACAAACAAAGCAGTTTTCTTTTCACTAGTGGATAAGCTGCAGTATGTTTCTGTGCTCATACTGAAACACATCCACAAAACACCACACTATAAAAAGCATCCATTCACCTCATTTAAAAAAAAAAAAAAATAAATAAAACTCAGCATTCATTCATTTTCACATATGGACTTGAAGTAGTGAGTACTTGAAGGATTAAACTGATTTGGAATCCTAGATTAAATCACTCAGACCTTCATAAATCTCTTTTTCACTCTCTCTGCCCCTTTCTCATGCTGACACTCTGCCAATCTCATGTGGGCTGCACACAAGGATTACGGTATGATCCATCTGGAATGTACCAGGCAGATAAATACTTTCTACTCCTAAATACAAATTCATGCATAATTACTGACTGCCATAAAATAATAATAAAAACATTAAGGCAGAAAAGGTCTCTCAAAGCCATCTTCAAAGCAAGTTGGTTACTTAACATTCACATACTTTAGCTACAAGGAATTTCAAGATTAACATGCCAGACATTTGTTGCTAAAGCTGAGGTGATCAACGGAGCATTCCTCCAAAGAAGTTTGCTTGAAATGTGACCAACATTGTCCAATTCTGTTTATCTGGCAACTTCTACGTAACTACAGTCATAGGCCATGGCATTAAGTTGGAACAGATTCAGTTTACACAAAAAGGAAATTAAGTAATTATTCTAGTTTCACTAATGTTCTAAAGCATCAAGAAACAAACACACCCACCAACAAATGCAGACCAAGACACAACCCCTCCAATTATACAGCAGCTCTACTGTAGTCCATGACCTGCAGATTTCCCTATTGTATTACAGGCACCACAGACATTGGCTGATCACCACAAAATCTGTATACCATTGCCTGTTTATCAGTATTTTGTCTACAGAGATTCAGCCATGATACTTAGGAACTATGTTTCTAGCAAAAGCTTTTCAGTACTCACATGGAAAAGATCTGAAAATTAGGAGAGGAGAAGCAGGAGTAGCTGAAGTCATTTTTAAGAGCCGTCTGTTGGAAACATGTATTATCTAATACTGAAAGGACAAACAGGGAGGAAGGCTTCATCATAACCTAAGAGGGCACTACCAAACAGGGAGTTCCTGTGATGTGTGGTTTTTTTCTTCCCCAAAAGCCTTCAATTACTTCAAACCCATCACAGTTGATACAACACTGAAAGATGAGTCATTCAGGTTTTGATACTTCCTCCTGTGCCCTTACAAAAGCCAATACTTCCACAATGCTGGCCTTTGTACAAAGACACCTTCTCCCTGAACAGCACTGATGCTCAGAGTCGGAAGCATTCTTTTCTCCCTTTTTTTTTTTTTTTAATCTGTATTTAAAGCACTGAACAAACACATCATTGATTTTCAGAAACTGCTGTCTAGCCCGGGTCACATACATTGTATGGTTTGTCACATTTACCTGCCCTCAACTTACATCAGAAAGTGACAAGTTAAATCGGTTCATACAAGGCTTAATCCACACATTTCTTCTTTTCTCCTGTAACAATCTAGGATCCTACAAAGACCCAAACCTCAAGTACTCAAAGGAACTCTGCTGCACAAGTGACATCTGGAAGGAATCAAGCACTATACTCATGTGCCAACTCTTCTCCCACCAGTACAGCCACAAAACCCCATGCCACAGCTCTGCAATGTCATACATTATTCTGCCATTGCACATTCTTGTATTATTGTACTTGGGGAGAGGCATGATCAGAATCCTTGTTTCCTCTTTTGGTCTCCCGCATATTACCCTTATATTTGCCCTGGATGTATGAATTTGGTCCTTAAGACTACATACAGTAGCTCTTTCCTAAGAGAACTAATAATCTCCATTACGTAAATCTATGAATTTAGCACTGACAAAAGGTACCAGACTCATCCTTCTGAAGTCAATTAATTCATTAAAACAACAGACAGAGAGGAGAGAAATAGTCAACTGGGGAACAGAAGGATAGCAGAATAGTATTGTTATACTTCATGTACAGCTATTAAAAATATGCTTCCCAAAGTCTACAAATATACTGAATGACTGCATCTCTGATCTCTAATACTAGAAGATGTCTTTTGAGACTAAGAAGAGAGAGACATTGCTGGGTACAATTTTTATTTTCTAATCCCAGAAACAAAATTTGGATCACATGATGAGCATTCAACCTATCTTGCCTGAAATCAGAGACTGTTTCCTAGTATAGTGTACTTGAAGAAGGGAACAAGACATCTATCTGAAACAAGGCTACTGAAACAAGGGCAGAAAATGCCTGCTCTCTAAACAAAACACAGCTGATATGTTAAAAACTAGTTTCCAGATAGGCTTAATAATTCATACAACATGTAAATCCCACACTGTTTTAAAACATGAATTTTTCCCCACACCATCCCTTCTCTCTAAGTCATTCTACGTCTGTGCTTGTATCACAGGCAGGGGATAGTTCACAAAGTTTCTGGGCTTCTGTTATATTATTCAACATGCCAAAACATTTTAGTGTGCAGCTCAATGAATGATCTCGATTATGGCATGAATCACAGTGTATCTCCTCCAGTGACTTTCAGTATGCAAGAAAAAAAAATGAGAACCCAAGTTGTCAGCCAATATAAGAAACATTTAAAATAAGGAATTTCAAGATGACGAAAGCAGAGGTGGTCAGTGGTACTGAACATCTGCCGTGTAACAGATACCTATTCTTTCATGTTTTCTTTAACAAAAAACTCACAAAACGAGACAGTAGATGAGTACTGAGATGAAGCAGCCCCCACAGCTGTTTTCAAAAAGCATTTTGTTGGGTCTGCATCTCCAGGTATCCATTTTTAAAACTGTATTCCCCCCCTCCCCAAAACAGGGCAATTCAAACATCACAATATACAGGCTCATTAAATTAGAGATAAGGTGCATTACTTTGCAATCTCAGGTAAGAGTGTGTTGCATTGGACAAGAGAGATTTATTCTCTATCATCTCTCTCTCAGAAATCACAGGGAATACTACTACAGTGGACTCCATGTGACATCCTAAGCCCCTTATTCTGAAGCAGAAGTAGTATTTTTAGTTGTTTATAAGGTTAGAGGAAAACAAAGAAAAGGGAAGAAAATATTTCCTTACTCTTTCATATTCATCCTTGGCTTTACTAAGCATTTCCAGGATGTCAATGGGCTTGTTTTCACTGCAGCCATTGGTTCTGGTAGGACTTTTTCTGTCCTGGGAAACTTGCTGTGATCTCTGAGCTTCTTGTTCTACCACTCTGTAACGGGAAAGAAGAAACAGGGTTTAAGAATTTTATCTAGAATTAAAATCTTGCAAAAAACAGTAAAGAAAAATGTACTCCCAGCATATTAACACATTTTGTTCTGCCTGAGTAAAAGCCTAACACATAGCTGTCCAAAGTTACACAGGCTTTCATTTGCTAAAAGGTTTATACAAGTCAAGTTGTCAAGTGGTCTGTACAATTTATCTCCAATGCAGACAGCACTGGTCTCTCACACAGTCTGCCTACAGTAAATACTACTTCTGTGAAACTGTCATGTTTAGACGTTTTCACAATAAAATATGTGGACATCCAAGCACGCAATATACAAACAGCACATGTATTATACCACAGACTTACTTCCTAACCTTTTTTCCCATATTTAGCCAAAGTGCAGCCATGTTATTCAACAAAATCAATTACAACACAGTTCTGATTCAGGATGAGGCCTACCATTACACAACACCACGAAGACAGTGGGAAAGAAGAGATCTGGCTCACACCAGATGCCTCTGGAGTCAGCCTGCAAGGAGGCTTACAGCAAATCACCTTACTCCCCCACTTAAGGCTCTGGGAAGAATGACAAACCATTTTCTTCTTTAGCTGTTGTCATTCCAATTACCTGCAGGTCTATAACACATACTTCCCCCTGGCCTTTGGTGCCTACAGTTCATTCACCATTTCTCCACCCCCACCTGTCTCAAGTATCAAAACCTTTCAGTTTAAAAGATGGTTAAGGCATGCAAGAAGAAAATGTATACCTGGTATGTTCCCCTAATAAAAGTACAGGCAGCATATACTTCTACTCCTAATCCACTTGCAATTCACAAGATATACACGGCTGTGCAATGCGCTAAAGCTTATCCTCTTGAAATAAACACACACCAGCCTGTAATCCCTTCTTTTTTAAGCCTGCATTAATGAAATATGTTAAGAAAAAACAAGCACTGTAAACAGGGCAGAGCTCTGGAGCTGGCATGGCACTTGTGACCTCTCAAGCTGTGGAACTAATGGCTGATGGGGGAGCCAAAAAGTGCCATCATAACAATCACAGAAAGTGCCAATCATTCCAGCCTCCGGTTTCTTTGGGTCAGTTCGGATTCAGAACAAACTGTAGACTTTAGAGACTGCAATTAGATATTCATATGCACCTCTATGTTGCCATTTCTGGGCAAAAAAATAGTTCAAGTTTTGGAAGTTTCTTTCCAGTTTTCCAGCAACCAAACCTCCTCACGTCACTAGAGTTTAGCTGTGTTTATTTGAAGAAGGGTTGGATTTAGCTTTTAATAATTCAACATTGCTTTCAAAATTACTTTGAAAATTTTAAATCATACCAGCTGCTTATTTAACCAGCTTCTCACTATTATACAGCTTTTTCTGTCTGTAAGCAAGCATTCACCTGCAAATGGTAACTTGGAACAGGGAGGCCAGTCTACACTGTCTGACAATTTTTAAGAACTGCAGTATGTGCTCATTTGGATGAAGCAGCTCAATACTGTACAAATGTTTCTATGGTGACACCCTGAGAGAACATTTTGTTCCAGCACCCCACGCCATCACACAACCCTGACTTAGGACCTGTCTAAACTCAACTCCAAACTAGGGGTGAGAAAGGGCAAGGTAAGAGAATACCAGAATACTTTGCTGAGATTTTAAGTGTCAACATAATTGTATCAGAAAAATAAATAGTTAAAGGGAAATTTCTTTTTTTAATAATGAATTACCCTCTCATGCAGGTAAGTGTCTAATAGCTCTTCCTCCATCTTCTGTCTTGTGCAGGTTACAGTCAGATGGTGGTGATGGGGCAAATGTAAAACACTATACCCCCAAAACTCCCTGCAATACTGTCCCACTTTTAGCTTGCTGCCTGTATCTCAGAAGCCAGTTTGGGTCTGACTGTTGAAACAGGGTAAAACAAGCCTGTAGACTAACCTATAAATAACCCCCCCCTTGAATTTATATGTCAGAATGCAATAGTTTCACAAAGATTTGAAAACTCTAGTTTCTGTCCTACTGCATCTAGAAAGCTCATCCCTCAAACATCAACTGGACCCAAACTAAGTCCTTTGGAATTCAGGAGTTTGATGACTCCCATTATATGGTGGGGGTTTTTTTTATTTCAGAAAATTCTAGATTTTTTTTTTAAAAAGGAAAAATTTCTGTACACTGTAAGCCTTTGCTGAGGAAGAATTTAACTAATGCAAATCTGTACATTGAGCATGCTCTCTACGCAATCCAGGATTAAATCTTTTTTCAAGCAAGGCCTGCTGTTTCCTTCCATTATATTAGGCAGTGGAAGAGGCACACATTCCTCCAGGGATAGTTGCTGCTGTGACAGTTTGCGTAAGAATATCTGCAGTTACAGCATCGAAAATATACCTGGCACAACCTCACTGGAGGGACTGGGGTGGGCAGAGCGGGGAGAGAGAGAGAAAGAGAGAGAGTACGTGAGAAGTGAAGTCTGTGATTGCAAAGCCTACAAACACTAACTTACTTTTGAAAGATAAGCCACCAAAATATAAATGGATGGTCTGCAATCTTGTTAATTCAGTCTGGCACAATAAGGTCAAGTTAAACCCCAGGAAACAGAGTACAAATCTCCTTGAAGCCTTATATGGATGTGTTTCTGAAGCTCAGAGGTATAATAAAGGCAGTACTCTTTCCTACCAATAATAAACCCCCCACCTAAACAATAGGGTAAAAATCTAATTTCCACCCAAGACAAAACTATGGAACAAAATTAATGCTCTTGGAAGACAATGTAAATATTTATTTCAAAACGTACTGATCTAAGCCTGATGGAGCCTGCTACCATGTGCTGAAATGCAACTTTCCTTCTCTAAGATTCAGTTTTATTCAACTAAGTTAAAAAGTATATTTTAAGTTTTCTTAAATACGTCTTTCATCCCAGGATGAAGTAATTCCTGCAATTTCAGCCTCCCTCGCATAGAGAAGCACACAAAAGTATCAGCATTTTTACCTTTTTTCTGACTGCCTCTACACATCTTGGGGGAGAGAAAGCTTGATGTTTGTGGAAATAGATGTCAGCAAAATAGTATCAATCCACTTTTCAGCAAGTTTCTAACAGCAGCCTCAGAAGTGCAGCTTTCCCATCCTACAGTTATGTGCAACTAGAATGCCTTCATTTCGTTTTCCCCAATATGAACCTTTAGATACTCAAAAGCTGTAACATGTGTGGTACCAAACGAAGCGGGATTTCATTCTACAGCGCTCATACAACAAATACAAGGAAATAGACCTACTCTAAATAGCTGTCTTAGTACAGAAATAGCCTCTGCCAATACTTTTGTTACCCCAAAACCAATACACAACTTTAAAGGAAAAAAAAAATACAAGTATTGAAACATTCAGTGATCCAATAATGAAGATGACTTTATGAAAGAAGAAACCACTCAGATAATCAAAGAATTACTACTAGCACTTACACTAGCTAAGGTCACTTAATACTCTTTTCTGACCAAGTTAATAGCAGCAAAGACAAAAAAAAAAAAATCATACTAAAGTGAGGTCCTAGCCAGCTCAACAAAATTTAACTGTCTGTATTGGTCAATACCTAGTGAACACATTTGATTTCTCTAGATCCACTTGCATTAAGTTTGAAGTAACAAAGCTCAATACATGTTCCCCAAAGTCTGCTTGACACACTAGCTCTAATTTCAGTTTCAAAGATACTTGTAATCCAGAGTCATTCCAACACCCACCATAAAAAGTTCCAAGATGTGAAAAATGTGTTTCAGCTTTTTGACCTTCCAAAATAATTTGTAATCTCATAAACTTTCTAGGGTGCTGAGATGCTACAGTCACAAGAGCATGTAAGTATCTGCACCATCAACAGGGGTGAATCAGTAACACTAGCTCTGGCACTTCTGTGTGTCAAGAAAGCTGCAACACAGGTATTAGAAACCCAAGAAAAGGCAGTAGTTTGCAAAGCAGATAACAATAAAGTTTAGATTATTCACAGACTGACTTTAAATGACCCTGCTGTGTCATTAACCAGCAAAGAGGTTAGATGTGCTTTATGGACTGGGATGCCATGGCTAGACTGGTCTGTTATCTGATTACACTTTTAAAGATCCCTGAAGTACTTCTAGTTCACGATTCAAGCTATAGGGACTAGGTTTAATAGCAAATTAACTCAAGTTTTGCTATATGACACTTCCATCTGCACTGTAGCTGTACATGACAGAGCAAGAACATGGTAGAGTTCAAAGAGCTCAGCTTTCTCTCCCACTTCAAACATTAATTGTTGTCTTAAAAGGTGCATTAAAATAAGAAAGCCATGACCATCTGATGCTCTGCTTATACAAAGGAGAGGCAACAGCCATTTTCTTTGTTTTGGTAACAATTTCCAACAGTCAGTTTCACACAACTGTTGTCAATTAACCCTTGGAAAAGCCAAATAAGAGCAAGAAGTTCAATGCAGCTGTGAGAGGAGGAGCAAGAAGTGGGAAACAGGAACTGTATAGACTTATAACGATGAGAGAAAAGAAAACCAAGAATTTAGAAAGATCTTTATATCATATATCAAAATCCATAATTTGTGTTGTTTTACATGGCTTCTGTGGGGAAAAAAACCCAAAATAACCCAAAGCAAAAACCCCAGACCAGGAAATTAGAATTCTGAGTAAGTATATGGAAACTAGTCAAAGTGTTGGCCGGTCTTCAAGTTTTGTCTGTCTTCAGGATGTCCCAACTTGCAAGACACAACATGCTGATTGAGGCATGCAATAGAAAAGAAAGTTCAGGGAAGTGAAAAGGAAAGTTCACGAAAGATAGCGAAGAAAAGCACAGGAGAGAATAAGGAACGACAAGATATCCCTCTAGAGTACGTTTGCATTTTGCATCTTTTGTAGTGTAAACTATCCTATCAAACAATCCAAGCTCCTTCCTTTTGTAAGGACACTGAAGATTTGCTGAAGTTAATTCTCATCCTTTTCTATTAGTAAAACATCTTGGCTTAATCTGCAAGCAGCTCCCCTGAAGGAACAGAAAAGTGCAAGAACAGCCTTCAGTCACAGCGTTTCAAAGACTTTATGCCACATCATCAACTCAACCAGTTCCAGCCTCCTTTGACATCTGTTGTTCTTCAGGTTGAAACCCTCCAGCTGTGCAACCATCAACAGTAAAGGGACACTAACTACACTGCTGCAGCAACAGCAGCTTCAACAAACTAGCAAACCCAAGTTAATGCAAATACAGTCTCTTAAAGTTTGAGACCATTTCAGAATTTTTCCTGCTGCATGACATCTCTAGGAGCCCTCTGAACTACAAACCAAGAATAAGTGACATGGCAGCTTCATGAACCAACTTTATCCCCAGAGGAGAAGAAAAAAAAAAAAAAATAAAAATGGAAGGGGTGGGGGGAAAAAAAGAGGGGAAAAAAGAGAGGGGAAAAAAGGAATAATAATAATAAAACAAACAATCCAGAAATTACCAACAAGCTCCTATCATTTCATAGTTTTCCTTGTACTCCCAACGTTGCTTTAATTCTGTAAGATTCCACCTACTTCTCCCACTAGTCTCCAACCCTTCATTTCAGTCAGAAATAATAACTAAGCCTTAAAAGCAAAACACTCCACAAATCCAAACAAAAGCAAGCCCACCACCAAACAGACCACAAAACTAACCAAAAAAACATGGCCATCATTTATTGGCCTGCAGAGGTTCTTTTGCCAGCATCTCTATACAAAACAAAATAAACAGTGTTCACGTTTGCTTTCATTGGAAAATGCCAACTAATGCTTAAACTGATTTTTTTTACCCCTTAACTGAAACTTTTAAGGTTGTAGTTTTTTTAGCAGAAACCCAGCATTCTGATTACTAAAAATCCTGTTACTATACTAGTTAAGGAGAAAAAAACCCAAACATGTTCACTAGGTTCATTTTTTTCTGTATTGCATAAAAGAATTACAGAATATTAAGTACTTACTTAGCCATGAGTTTTGCTATTCGATGACAGTCATTCTTGTCGTAAAACCAGATACTGTAAATTGACACTTGAAAATAAGAAAAAAAAAGTGCAAGTATAAGACAAGGGTTTTTTTTTTTTTTAAAATCAAATCAGTAGGAAAAAAAATAATCCCTTAGGTCTGCAACATATGAATTACCATCAGTTTCCACTCAATACTCTGTGTGACTGACTAGCATTTATAAAGTAATCAGAAATAGCACATGTGCAAACACAAATCCAACTTCAGATGGATTAAATGCAAGAACTACAAAATGTTGATACTGTTTGTAACGAAAAGTGACAGAAAAATGAAGTTTTAACTATCAGATGCCTTCTCACTACAGTTGCAACCTTCTGTTTTGAATTACTGACTTCACCATTTAAACTAGGCTAAAGAATATCCTTTCTATTTTTTAAGCACTTGTTTTTGTCAATTTTTGAAGGTCAACAAAAATGTTAAAGTTGGAATTATGGTATGATAGTTTAGTCAGAGGCTTTCTGGTTGTTTCCCTCTCCAAATTCTTTTTGTGAAAGTATTTGTATAAGAAGGATACAGTACCAAAGCGCCAATCATACTGTCACATTCATAGAGCAGCCTGTATCTAGATTCATATTGAATCCTACTCTTTGAGGGTACCGAGGACAAACCAATGAGGGCAAAATCAGCTCAGCAAAACACTAAGCCCCATTCTGGCTTCCAGAATGGTTAAAATTCCACTGAAAGTCCACAGAGTTAGAGCCTGAAAGACACTTCACCAGAAGGAGAAACTTTGTCAGTAGTACCATGTGCTACTTCTTCATCAGCAATCCCACTTCAAAGAGGCTGTTTTTTCTTCCCCACACTCATCTCTTCACTGTCCCCACAGTAGTGCCAATACAACAAATTGCAGAACTCTTTTCAGAGTTGTATTTAATCCAATCCACAAGACTGGTTATTTTAAATCTCAGTTCACCTATGAAGTTCGTCAACGCACAGTGTGCAAGTACATTAAACTTTACTTTACATGTGTTACCATTAAAATATTTTCATTTCTGAAAAGGTGCTTTTAGCCTTTTAAAACCTCGTCTTTGGCAGTTCCTGCCAATATTTTTATGAAGTCGAAATCACAGATTATAAAAAAAATATGCTATAAGGTGAAAGTATGTTTAAAAAACCTATACATTTTCCAGCCAGATGTAGTTACTTATTTCAAAGTGATATCTGCACATTTTCCTACACCCATTCTTTTCCTCCTCAAAATAGACAAAAATCTCAAAGTCCACTCAAAATCATTTCAAGCCATGGCAAAGACAGCAATTATTTACCAAACAGTTCCAGTTATCACAGGCTTACTGTGGCTTTCTGTGTTGGACCAAAACCCTGAAACAGTCATGCCCACACTTCATTTCTGCAGCAATATCCTAAGACAAACTGAAGTTCTACTTCACTTCTTTTATTAACAACTGTATTCATTTGGGTGTTTGTTTCAAGTTACAGCTTAAGTAACAGACAACAAAGCTTTTCAAGTCATAGACAAAGAAATAAATACAGTACAATTTAAGGAACTTTCTTCTTACAAAAGACAAAACAATAAAAAAAGCAAACATGTAGCCAATGCTTATGAAATATTTATTGATATTGACAGTTTAATACAACTGCATTGTCTACTGGATAGAAACCTGAAAATGTTTCTAGTTTCAGCTACTTCTGTAGTCATGTAGCATATTTTAGCATTGAAGAAAAATTTTTTTCTGACTTCATTATCAGACGAACTGCCAAGAGAAGAAAGCTTCTTCAAAAGCATACTTGCTGAAGAAATGAAGATAAGGAACCTATAATGATATCTTCATGGGACAAATGATAAAAGTCACACTCGATTCTGCCAGAAACAGGTCTACACAAGGCCAGAAGTAGATTCAAATCTCAGTCTGGTGCACAGACTACCTGGCTTTTTTCCACTTTGTATTACTGGCAAGCAATCAGAGGGAGTCACCACAAAACATTAAGAGTACTACAAAGATGTAGAGCAGATTATGAACAAGTAAACTTGCGCATTAACTTAGATCTGGTCCAAAAGGCTGGAATGTTTAACTTCCTCTTTGCAAAAGAGGAATTATCAATTCAGCTCGCTTGCCCCAGAAGTATTGTGTGTCCAACTCCATTACTGTATTTGACATACTTCAAGCATGCATGCAATTTTAGCTATGAACATCCTTTTATTAAAAGGAGAGCTGGTACTTACCAGTTCTTTTATTTATATATATATATATGTGATCTTTTTACTACACCCAACAAAAACATCAGCTGAATGTTCATAAGTCTAATGGCCTATCTTTCTACTGCAGTTCTTTTAAGATTTTCATCCAACAAAAGCCAATAAATGGACTCATTTTTTCATTTAGTTCAACACTTTCTATCCAGCTTTTCTACACTGAATTTTGACACACAAGAAGTAATAAGTAATCCATACCACAGACAAATCAGACTTTATAAAATGAAAAGAAGTCATTGGTTATCTTCATCTACATTCTTCTCTAACAAAGGTAATATTTATTAGAAACACTGACCCACAAATATTTATCTAAGCACAACACTCAACTTTTCTCCAAACTTGACTGGGTCAATCATTAAAACTTGACTGAAATTACTATGGGAAAACAGAGATTTTGAGAAAACAAAAGCTTTATGGAAGTCCTCCTGCTCAAGCCTAACAGCTGGGTGACACCAAAAGGAAGATCTTGGTCTCCTCAGCACCACACTCTCATTGCTTCCTTGGGCAGTCAGCTTGTTGTTCCAATACCGCCCAGACAGCAGATCTGAATTAAGAGTGGGGATAGCAAAGAGCACCAATGACATGGGGGCCTCACTTTTTGGTAACATAAAATGAAGTTGCATCCCAAAGCTGTACTTTCACTTCAGTGTGCATTTTAACTAAGCAGAAAGAAGCGGTGTCATCACTCTTGTATTCCCATAACTTTGCTGTTGACTCATCCTACTCCAGTTCACCCCTCTCCCTCATGTCAACTGGATACATTTTAGTCCAGAATAGTTTCTTGATACTATTTGTGCCTCAAGTTTACAAACGTGCCATGTAGCACGAGAGAGAACAGAAACAAGAAGCTGGGGGCAAATGTTCATGAAACTGTAGTCAGAGAATACAAGGCCAGAAGTGCACGTGGGACGCATCAGCACTGCTAGTTTCAGCAATTCCAGATACTACCACTCTCTTGCCTTAGGCAGTTCAGCAATTTGTGCATAGAGAGCTTCATGTCATTCAGAAAGATGATGTTTAAAAGTTACCTTAACTAGCTGGAAGAGTTGACAGAAGAGAAAGAAGTTTTATTTTACAGTTCTAATTTAGATGTTACTATTCAATGAAAACTAACAACTGGAAGGGGAGGACAAATAACAACTTTCAAGCTGTCTCTAGAAACAACTCAATTTGAAAGCCATCCTATAGTCTATAAAGAAAATTATGTACCTACATCATTCACATATGGTATATGCATCATATTAACTTCAAATACAGTTTAAGACAAAAGCACATAAAGCAATTTCAAAGCTCATAGTTCTTCTAACAGCAAGGTTAGCTGAAATGTCACCTCTCCTCGGTCAATCTCATTCATTATTCATATTTTCCTCAATTTAAATATTAGCCTGCCACACAGATTTATAAGTCACTGGAATTAATAATAAAAAAGCCCCTCCCTTTCTTATTGTTTTGAATATCTAAGGCCATCTCACAAATACAGTTCACAGCACAGTCCCACATGCAGTTGCACTGGAGTAATTCAGCAGGTGGCAAGCAGGATCCAAGACTAGGAACCCTTTAACAAATGCCACCTGATGAAGTACAGCGTGGAAAACAGTGATTACTACTTTGCTACACCAAACCAGAGTGGAAACCCCCTTCCAGTTAGAGTGCCATCTTTCAGGTCAAACAAAATATTTTTAGAACTTTACAGCTTTCAATGGTTCCTCCCCCCACAGCTTTCATTGCTGCTTCTGAGGTATCAAGAACAGGCTCCTTTCTTATCTTAGCCTGTACTGCTGGGTTAATGCGCTTGCTGGAGTGCCATTCAGCTTCAGCAAGCACAAAGATATGTTATACTTAATGCATTGCCAGCTGGGAACAGATGTGATAATGAGAGACTTTTCTTACCAGGAAAGGTGCCCTGTTTTGAAACCACTCAGGAGCTCTTTCAAAGAATTTTAATTGGAATTATGGAACTAATTTTGCTTTTGATATTCTGAATATAACTTTGGGTAACTAATAACAATACAACAAGCCTGGGAGACAGCACTTTAACCTAGTTTACAACTGAAACATACAGACCTTTCCAAAATCCATTATTTTTGGTTTACTAACTCTTACCCTTGGACAGGAATAAGAAGCAAGAGAAAACAAAAAACCCACACCAAACAAGGACCATTTATTTTAACACCCAAGTTTTATGCTTGGCATCTGTCTTTTCAGCACCATGGAAATCAATCTGCCTGACCTTGCAAGTGAACTAGCTTGGATTAAAAAACCTTTTCATCAAGACCAGCACCACCAATACAGAGGAAAAGTTACAAATGAGAAAGACTTTGGGGAATACTTCTTGCAGACTTCAAGAGGTAAGTTGACCATTGTTTAAAACTTTGACTAGTTTTCCTCTATTATTAAGCACACTATCAACTACTATCTCCAAATTCTTACATTACAGGTCTGAACTTTCAGACTGGATTATTATTACTTTTACTGGCAGAACTGTATGTATTTTTTTTAAAAGAGGTTAGCAGATTTCACAAAATACAGGCAAAAGGAAACAAGCTTAGGTTCATAACAAAAAACCAAACAAACAAAAAAAAAGGCCGGTAAGATTCAATGCTTCATGAACAAATATTCTAAAGAATGTGCATGTGTCTAGAGGGAAAGTTATACAAGGGTCATATGGACCCAGCAACACACATTCCAGATTAAGCAATAATAAACAGCACATTAAGTATGAAGTATAATCTAAAGAAAATATAAAACATACCTTTTGAGATGAAATCTAAATCAGAAAAATGTTACATTTAGCAAAACAATTTCTTTTCATTTTGGTAATTTCTTGATTTGTTCACATTTAGAGATATTTGCTTTCTTCAATTTTTTCTAACAATGAAAAGTAGAATACCTTTTTTTTTTCCTATTTATCACTGTAACTGGTATAATGTCTCAGAGCTTCTCAGTCACACTCCTGACTATTTTTGCTTTAAGATCTGATGTAACGAATCATGAGCAAATGCCCTAAGTTTTCAGGCAGCATTACATACAACTTTATAAGCAGATACAGTGTTTCTCAAAGACTTGGGGTTAGGTATTCTTTTGAGGCTTGAACCATATTATGCAGCCAGAAGGATTGAGGGGGAAAAAAAAATAAAAAATAAAATCTGAAGTTAAGAAAGATTTACCCATTAATGGCTAAAATTCTGAAAAGGTGGGAAAATCATCTCTATGTGTCTAACATCTAACCAGAATAATGAGTAACAAATAGACCCAAATGTCTTCCATTCATTGAGAGAACACAACAAAAGTTAGATGTAAGAAAGACGCTGTATTACTTGGTCTATTTTCCTTCCAGAACACCCATGAAAGACTCCTTCATATCCCACCTTGCAAGAACAGAGGGATAAAGGATCTTATGTCTACAGCTTAATGAAAGTTAGTTCTGATATGCAAACTAAAGATTCCATTGCATATTAAAAATAAGTACTTGAACAAATAGAACTACAAAAGAATGGTAAAACCTACAAAAAATATGATCTGGCATGATAGGCTATACATTCTTATAGCTTCCTGCCAAGCAAAAGTAATGTTTTTGTAATATACTGCTTGCAAAGTTCCTCACATACCTTGTTAGAAGCTCTGTACAGATTGGAGTATATTACGTGATATACTCAGAACAGCTTCTCACGCTATTTCAGACAGAGGTCCAATCTGGTAAATGTAACAGACTTCACCCTCATTATCTTAAGTCAAGACAGAATCTCAGAACAAAGTGTTTATAAAACAGTAGTATCATATTAGGTTATAAATCTTGTTAATACAGAACCTCCCCTGTGTATGTGGTAGCATAATTCTGCTCTGACCATCTTCTACTATTTCTGCTATGCCCTGTGGAAGTGTAAACCCACATTTGTCACTGGTCCTGTTAAAACCTAAATATATAGGCATAAAATATGTTTGACTCTGCCAAAGAGCAATATTAATAAACACTATTTCAGGTTTTTAATCAGATAGTCTGAATTATTTCCCATCTGTAAGCTAAGGAAACAGAATCAACAGTTCAATCATACAGCAATTGTCACAGGACAACTTACTGTTAAGACTTTACTGTTTAAGACTTTTCCTCAAGCAGGATACAAAAAAAAACCAAACAAACAAACAAAAAAAAAAACAAAACAAAAAAACAAACCAAACCCCTAAACCACTACAAGAAACAGGCTGTTGCCAACCCTCTATGTAAGAGGTAATTTTTCCTTGTACAACCTTCCCTCCTCTTTCAGTCATTAAAGGATTTCAGAAGAACTTCACATTAAGCCCTTAGAGATACACATCACATTAACCGCTGGCTTAAACCTATTTGAATTAGTCCCAAAAATGCCAAAGTTATTCATGCCAGCAGGCAGCTGAGCAGAAGCAGACACCCTTCTGCATGAAGAGAATTTGGACACTCCCAAATCTACACATACAAATAAAACATACATGTTGAAATTTATCTGCAAATCCAAATTAATCCTGAAGGGGTCTTCTGGGGGTGTTCTTTGGCTGGCTTTTGGTGTTTGGTCGTGTCCCCCACCCCCCATTTGTTTGGGGTTTTTTTGTGCATTGGTTTTTTTTTGGTCATTGTTTTTTTGTTTTCCTAAGTTTCATGAACACTCTGCAGACAGAGGCAAACAGCTTTAAAACTGAAGATCTCAATCACATAATTTGTTTTTTCCTAACCAATTCAGGGAACCAAGGTCAGCAAAATTTAGAAACTGCACGTAAGAAAAAGAATCCAAACACAACTAAATGCAAAACATAAGGGAGTTAGCTGTGCTGAAATCTTAAGGAATAAAAAGCTCAGATACTGTTTTCTATGCATTTAAGCTTGTATTTGAACAAAATGAACACTAGCAGAGCACACAAAAACTGATCTCCTGCTTATTTGTGACACTTGGGGAAATAACTGATGATGTGCTAACTACACTGTTTCTAATCTGCAATCAGCATAGACTGTTTCTGGATATGCTACCAGCCTTTTCCAGGAGACAGGACAGAGTGATGAAACAAAGGATACCTTCTGACCAAAGCCTCTTAAAGAGCCTTTTAAAATGGGAAAGATATTGGGGGGGTGGGGGGGAGCGGAACAAAAAAAAAAAAAAAAAAAAAAAAAAAACCACAACCAAACCCAGGATACTCTCAGTTCCTTCAGAATGCAATTATTTCCTGTATCCAGTCTACAAAGCCTATAATATTTTCCTTGCTCACCTTTGTATGAATGTCTTCCTTCCTTGTACCTTCTATGTCATCTCTATCCTAACTCCCACAGATCTTACACAATAGTGTCCCACATGAAGAGGGGAGCTTTCATCAATTAAAAAAAAAAAAAAGCACATAATTAGCTTTAGGTGTTGCTAATGAACTCTCACACAGCCTCCCTTCTCTGACTGCGTCCTTTAAGTGATCCTCTAATCACTCCCACTATCATAGACGATGGTAATTCCACAGTAGCTCCCATTTCCCTGATACCATCAGCAGTTCCAACAAACAAATGAATCAGCTTCCTGCTTCCCTTACCCCACAATTCCTCAATCTCACAATTGCACTTCTTTCTTCTACTATCATCTCATCGGCCATCCTACCCCTACCACCATCACCTACAGCTCCTCTTCCTCCCAAACCAAGCAACCTGCTAAAACATCCAACTCAATGCAGTATTTTTCCTCTCCCAGTTTCTTGCCAGTCATTTACTTCCCTAATCATCCAGGCTTCTCAAACTCCTGAGAAGTTTTGACTTTTTCCTATCAGTGACACAGAAGGAAGATTGCCAAGATCATCAAACAGAGGAGACCACCTACCTCATGTTGTTCTTTGTCACCATAATGGAATCTATGCTACTACTCACAGACCCTAGAGGCTTTCCAAGAGAGAAAAAGGAAGGGATTAACATTTGACCGTTCTTTTGGCTACAGTGAAGTGCGGCCAAAGCAGTGTTTCTATCTGTAATTCAAAGGGATATTCTGACAGGAAGAAGACATGGTGTTGAGAAGTACTGCACTGAAACAGCATACAGGCAGGTTCTCCGAGTAACTGAGTAAGAGGAACCTGTCATGAGACAGCAGCAAACTAGTCTGAAGAACTCTGCCTAGAGAAGAAGACATGAAATGGTACCTTTGTATCAGCAGGATCCTCCGCTCTGTGGAGTGCCTTTTATTTATCTACTTAACCTACTGTGAATTTCATATACACACATACTCCCTCTTCCCCTCTGTAAGGGCTACATAATTTAGCAGGACTTTTTGTGTGCACCTGCTTGGAACACAGTACACCAGGACTCTGAACCTTGACTGATGTTCCAACACACTATTAGATTTCAGAAGGCAGCAAGAAGACACTGACTATTATTTTTACCACTCATCTGTACAACAACTATCCCAACACCCAAACTTGCTGGAGTCCAGACTCCAGGAAATTTAGTATAGACATCTATCTCTCAAGTCCAAAACCTATTGTGGAGAAAGAAATCTTCAACGTAGAGATGAGCAATTGTCTCAACTTCTTGAAGCAGCTACCAATTAATCTTTACTTTTTTCCTTGTAAAAGAGGAAACCCTTAGAATATCAACAGACATTTCACTGGAAGCTGCCCTCACATTACACTTGAAACAGACATCACAGTAATCAGAAATGGTCTAGGTTATAAAACAGAACATGAAGTTTATATGAATTAGAGAAAGTTATACTCACAGTTAGCATTTCTGTAGAGAAGAAAAGGTTCATGGAGCTGAAACTCCAGATCTTTATTTACTGGTTCAACCAGGTTGTGCATGTTCAGTCGATTCACTATCGTAAAACCATGATAAGGAGAAGCTGACCTATTGTTTCAATTCAAACAAAACCAAGGATTAATACCTTCGTTAATGCATACTATTTTCTGAAACAGTTATGAATTAATTTTCAAATCCCTATTGCTTTATTAGATGAAGCTTTAGCAGTCCTGAAGCTTTGTCTATGCCATTTCTCGGCATACTGACTCATTTCACTTTAAAATTATGCTTACCTCAAAGTAGGATTAGGAGTAACGTTACAGTTCTACACTGCTAAACTGCTGAATCACAGATATGCCTCAAAAAAAAACAACCCTCAATCTATTTAAAAAAAAACAAACAACTAGGGCAGATCCAGGATTCAAATGCAAGTGTGCTTGATACTTCACATGAGACAATTTTGAGGTATTTTAAAACTGCTTAGTGAAACAATTTTTATTGTCTAGATTTTTGCTAGACACCAGGTGGTAAAACAAAACATTAAGCAAGCACTGCAAGTTCAAGACAGTTTTAGAGCTGTTTTCTCTTGCCACATGAATGTCCTGTCAGCACACACAATTGTGTCTGCAAGCACTCATATAATCAAGAGCAGCACAGTGAAGGGGTGGTAAAAACCAGATATAATTAGCCAGTAAATGTTAAGATTTCTATAACGATATGGCCACCTCTACCAAATGACCAGCAACAAAATCTGTCTATGGAGGGAGCAAGCGATTCTTACCATCACAAGTCAATCTTTCAATGTGCATAATAGAACTTGTTTGAAATAATCAGCTAGTCACAGGGAAACTTTTTGCCTTTTTTGTCTGTTTGTTTTTGTTCTGTATTAGTTTGGTTGGCTTTCTTATACTAAGTATTTCCAAGCTTGGAGCTAACGTAAAGTAGACAGGAACTGGTAACTAGTATCCCTTCACAGTGCCAGGATAAAATATTGCAATGACCTAGTCTGTGGCAGTCTGTGTCAGGTCTGCATTATTTATATGTCCCATATTGAACAGTGAAATTTCTTTGTTAGATTTTTTTATTTGCCTGTAATTTAAAACTTAAATCTGTGTTTGGTTTCACATGCTGGTTCTCCCCTTGCACCCCTTTTCTCCAACCTATATAACTGGCAGTTTCTTCCATGGTTTTGATGAGGAAATCAAGGAACCCCCCCCAAACTGCACACTAACAGATCTCCAGCCTTTAGGCAACTTTATTTACAAAATTTTCTGCCATATCCTGACAGTAAGTAAGGACAGATTATTTAAATTACCATCTGTATTCCTTTCACAATCAGCTTTATGGATTTTAAGAGACAAAATAAGACTCAACATTTAACTCAACACATTAATCAAATGAGCTCAATAAACTACGTTTTTGTGTGGCTACATATGCAGTGTTCATCAAGTTTTATGACATTTCAGCAGCACCTTTAAGTGCTAGTGTTAGTTATTCACTTATGTGCAGAGTAGTTTATTCTTTTTCGAGTATACAGACACTAACAGCTGGACAAATGAGTAATTACAAGTTCACTGGATGCTGTATATCCAGTATGAATGCCACACATGAAGCCACCTGATGTTTGTTTTCTTATGGAAGGGAACCACCCCACCCTCTGCCAAAAACCCCAACCAACCAATAACAAAACACCTTTACCTTTTGTACACAAACAAGGTCCCTTCTATGTTGGTTTTCTCCTAAAAAAAGACAGCAATTGTATTTAAGGGATATGCTTGTTCACACAGTTATATAGCTTTTGTATAGCATTTTATTTAATAAGATTTACAATATCCTTCTATTTCCATAGGACTTGACATCGTAAGACTAAAAATATGATCTCATTTTCAGAAACTACCTGTTTTAATTAGTAAGGTAGGAAATTAAACCCATTTCCAGAAGATTTTGCTCATGCTATCAACCTGATGGTAGGATATACAGTAGTTCACAACCTTCCTATGCTGAGCCTCCTGGGCCAGAGCTGAACACCCTTCTCACAACTCCTCATTTTAAATATGGACCATAGTCCACTAATCTAAAAATATCAGTCTTCCACAACAGCAATGACAGTACAGCACAGCAATGACACACACAAAACAATTATGGACCATAGCTCTTTCTTCAGTTTTCAAAGCAACCTTTGCCATGTGCTTGTGACCTGCAAACACCAAAAGCTGTGTGCAGCCCCAGTGCTGCACATGACAACGTGAAGTTCCACATATTTTCCATTTTTATAGATAAAATGGATGCCCAAGCAAAAACTGCATTTTAATGGTGTGACAAACACTAATACCTCTCAAATCTCACTCCTCCTAAATTAGGGCTCTGTTCAACACACGTAAGCAACAATAACAAATTACAGTTAAAACCCAAACAACAAGAAGTAAACGCAGCAACGGCCACCAAGAGCAAAAGAAACCTCCAGCGCCACTTCTGTTTCGGTCACAGTTACCCGGAGGCGCTCAACGACTCGTAGGCACCGGCTCGCTCCCTCTCCGGCACAGGCGCCCTCCGGGGCCGACACCCGTGCGGGGAGCACGCACCCAAATCCCAAAACTTCCCCTTGGGCGAAAGC